TTTTTATACTTTGGCTTTTAACTGAAGTAGTGCTTGATACTCTGTTTTTATTATTGTTGTTCTCTCTGTGCAGCACTTTGGTGCAGTTTTATACTTGCTTTTAATGTACTATATAAATAAATTTGACATGACATGACAATATACATATATTTAGATTTAGATATAAGATTTAGATTAGATATAAATATAATATTTGTATATAGATATGAGGCAGAAATAGATTTAATATATATTCAGATATAATATTTAGATGTAGATTTAACATATATATTTAACATTTACCATTAAATATGAGAAAAATGCACTAAATGTGAAGAAAGTGCACTGATTTTTTTTCTTCGTTTAAAATTTACACTTGGCACCTCATAGCTGGGATTGGCTAAAAGTGCGTGACCTGATCAGAAAAGCTGAAAGTATGGAGACTCGGCTTCCTCGGAAAGGCTGATCCAGACAGGCGGGTTTCTGTCTGCAGCTGTTTACAGCTGTGCACATTCCGATGCTTGTTTTTCAAAATAAAACTAGCCTAACAGCTTTTCATAACTCAGATGGACTAAACTTAGAGGAAGCCCTCGTATGGGAATATCGAACAGTAAAAACAATAATAAAAACGGTGTTTATCCTATTTACATAAAAATAATTTAACATGTTTTGCTCTTATTTTCTTAAAGGAAGCAGATTTCTTCTTTCTTGCTGTAAGTCTGACAGAAGGCCCCCCCGCCCCCCCCTAACATTCCTCCCTCTGTGGTAAAACTACAGACCTGGAGTTTGTCCACGTTTACAGCCCTCCGCTCCACATCATCTCCCACCCTGCAGGCCTGTCCCTGAACGCACCTTTTGATGCCCACTTTTTTGTATTTAAATCCATTTTTCTTTACGCTAAGCGGACCTTTCTTTGCGTAAAAAAAAGAAACATGTTTGGCCTGTACATTGTCGTGTCTTTCCTCTCTGCGTGGTTTTCCGTGGAGTGTAACCCCAGTCCCGTGTTGGGAGATGTAGTCGTGGACAGATACGACATGCCCAAAGATTGTCCAAGAGAGGCGAAAACCGGGGATTTTGTCCGCTATCACTATAACGCCACTTTTCTGGATGGGAGCGCGCTGGATTCGAGGTGAGTGGGRCATTTAAACACTTTTTAAAATGTTTGATGGTGATGCTGGCTGAGAGATCCTGTCAGCTTAAAAAAAATGTATCATGTCAGGACAAGTAGCATATCTGATCCTCTGACAGACTTCCTTTCTTCTYGTTTTCCTCCTCAGCCACCAGAAAGGGGTAGCTAAAGTGGGCCTGATAGGGGAGGGTCGGCTCCTCGCCGGGGTGGACAAAGGCCTGCAGGGGATGTGCGTAAAGGAGCGCAGGAGGATCACCGTCCCTCCTCACCTGGCTTATGGAAGCACCGGCGCAGGTAAAGTTGGAGGTTCTTCCACTCCAAATTGTTTTACAGTAAAAAAAAAAAAATAACTAAAAAAGTTAATTTACTGTTGTTTTTTAACTCCATAATGCAGACTGAACTGCAGCAGGCCTCGTCATTGTTTTTTGTTTGTTTTTAGCTCCCTCACACATCTGGATGATGCATTTTCTTTAACAAAAAGATTCCTCAAACCATTTCACCTCAGTCTGAAAAACAGCTCAAATGCAGAGAAAGCAGCACTTATAGGGTTTCTTATACTTTTAATGGTCTTTTTTACTCATACTTTACATCAATTATGCATTAATCTTCACTGATGAGATCTGTTTGTTTTTAATGCCTCTGCTGCACAATCTCCTCCAAAGACCAGGCTTTTAGTTTCCATTATCTCATACAGAAACTTTTATTGGTAGGTTGTTAGAGTTGACGAATCCTCATTACTTGAAGTTTTTGTTGATTCTCAAATGGAACTATTTTCCTCCCTGTGCGGTCTTTTAATAGGGATGTAAATCAGCTTTATGACAATATGATGTGTCGATTTGCTTGGATGATATGTTTATCACAAAGTCTGTCATGATAACGATTTAGATTCGGTTCTTAAGTCTGCGATCGATATGATGTGATGTCATATGACCATCTAACAAACTCATACGGTAAATGATTGTTAGATAGTCATATGACACAGCAGTTATCGCTACATGTTAATGTGGATCGATGCCATCAGGGGACGCAGTTCCTCCAGATACCACGCTGGTGTTTGACGTCCACCTCCTGGATCTGTGGAACAACGCCGACCTCGTCGTCACCAAAACGATCAGTACTCCCAAAGACTGCAAACGCTCCGTGATGCGCACTGACTTTGTGCGTTACCACTTCAATGGCACGCTGCTGGACGGCACCGCCTTCGACTCCAGGTCAGCTCTTCCTCAAATCGTTACCTTTTTTTTTAAACAAATTAGTTAGTTTAATTGACAATCTTGTTCCCAAAACCTGAAAGTTTTGTTAAACAATAAACCCCATGTGTGTCTGCTGCACTGTGTCATGCAGGTATGTTGTCTGTGTGAAGTTGTGTGTCTTGACTTTGCACTTGTATGAGCCCCGCGCAGCTACACCAGGAAGCAGACCCAAAACTCTCTGGTGGGCGAAGGTTGGCTGATCAAAGGCATGGACGAGGGGCTGCTGGGCATGTGCGTGGGAGAGATCAGACACATCACCATCCCGCCKTTCAAAGCTTACGGAGAGAAAGGATCAGGTAAGAAGTGACACACACAGAAGGACGGACTGAAGGCGGACACGTCTAAGGAACATCGAGATCCAAGAATTACCAGCAATGCGTCATCTTGGAACATAGTCATTAGAAAACTGCCATGCCTCATATCTACTTGTTTAAATACATTTAAATGTCTGAAATCCTCCACTTCCTGTCTGACAGGGACAGAGGTCCCTCCCCAGGCCACTCTGGTGTTCGACGTCCTGTTGGAGGATATTCACAACCCCAAAGATAACATCACCATTGAGAACCAGGTGGTGCCCGAGCCGTGCACTCGTAGGTCTGTGGTTGGGGACTACATCCGGTACCATTACAACGGGACGTTCCTGAACGGCGTGACTTTTGACACCAGGTGAGCTCAGATTTGGCTGAAACATTTAGAAGTCTTTTTTGGGGTATTTTGGGCCTGAAAACCTCTGTATGATTTATATTTATTTCTTACAGCTATCAAAGGAACAGCACTTACAACACATACATCGGGATGGGATATGTGATCCCGGGCATGGACCAGGCCCTGCAGGGGGTCTGCATCGGGGAGAGGAGGAGAGTCATCATTCCTCCACATCTAGCTTATGGAGAACAAGGAGCTGGTGAGTTGAGKCTTAAAGTTCTCCTCCACAGATTMMCAACAACAAAGAAAATGGCCCATCAATATTTGAACAGTTTAAGGTGGTTCTTTAAGTTTTTTTTATTTTTTGTCCAGGTGATGTGATCCCACCTTCAGCAGTTCTGGTTTTTGACATCCACGTCATTGACTTCCATAACCCCAGTGACAAGGTGGAGATCCAGGTCACCTACAAACCCGAGGCGTGCAACGACACCACAGCTGTGAATGACCTCGTCCACTACCACTACAACTGCACTCTGATGGACGGGACTCTGCTCTTTTCCTCGTGAGTCCCTGCATCCAGTTCTTGATTTGTGTTTTGAACCTACTCAGCAGAGGTTTGACTTGCACCCACTCGTCCTCAGACACGACTACGAGAACCTTCAGAATGCAGTTCTGGGGGCGGACAAGGTGATCGACGGGCTGGACGAGGGCTTGCAGGGCATGTGTGTCGGAGAGAAGAGGCTGATCACAGTACCACCTCACCTCGGACACGGAGAAAAAGGAGGTGAGAATTTTACTGTTGAACTACAATTTATTTAAACAAATAAGGATTCATGTCAATTTTTGTGATTTATTCATGAACAGTGGCTGTCGAGTTAAAGATGGTCCTTCTGTCTGTCAGGTTCGGGTATTCCGAGCAGCGCGGTGTTGGTGTTTGACATCGAGTTGGTGAGCTTTGAGAAAGGAGTGCCGCCCGGTTACCTGTTCGTGTGGCTCAAGGACTCTCCCGAAGATCTCTTTAGTCTTCTGGACAAGAACAAGAATGAAGAGGTGCCAGTGGAGGAGGTACGTTTGTTCTCCGTCACAAAATAGAATTAAACACTCACCAGCTCAGTCATAACTTACCTCAATCCAGCCTTCAGAAAAGAGATCAAGTTTTTACGACCTCAACTTTTATTTCCATTACTCACAAAAGACATCCATATTGTGTTGTTTACTTGGGCTCCACCTGGTGGTTAAGTCTGGTATAACACTGTTGACTGCTAAAGAGTCCAACTAAAATGTTGTTTGTCATGAATGAAAACCTGTGGAGATGATTTTACTGTATTCATTACACTGTTAAACATGCAACCAATAACTGGTGAAACTTTTGAACAAGTTGCAGTGTACTGTTTGGGAATCTGGCTGGATGATGAACTTTCTTTCTCACACCATATTAAGGTTAAAAAAGACATGTCTGTTCATTTAAAAATTGTCTTTTACAAGGTTTTTACCGTTCTTTGATTGAGATATTTAAAGACATGCTTGTAGGGGAACTCTACAGAAACTGGACAGTGTATCACTCAGTTTGTTTTGTTGTAAATGCCACTATAATGTGGCACTGTCAACCGTACTCTCAGGTTAGCTGGTCCTCTATATGCCATTGGCAATATTCACTGGTTTTTCACTTCATTATAAAACTCTATTGGGGTACTCTCCTCCATAACTTCATCTGTAATAAATCTGTTTTTCTTTTTACAAGTCGTTTTAAAGCTTTCTTTAATGATACTTGTAAATACACTGCCTGCCTGATCAGGTCTAGGAAGCTTATTGAAACAAATACCACAGTGAATGCATGCTGTAATCAAAGCTAAAGGCGGTCCAATGAAATATCGAGTGCGTGACTTTTGTTCTTTTTTGGGTGAGGCAGTGTATTTTACCATGTAATATGTGATTTTCTGATTGAACTTTTTAGCTATTGTTTTGATATATGCCTGTTTATTATTCAGATTATTTATTTTGTGTGTCCTTGGCACTTGCCAGCATTATAAATAAGTTGTTACTAACGTTCTGCCTGGCTAAGTGAAAAAATAAAATGAATGCTGATCTGTCTTCTGCACTTTAGTTTGGAGAGTTCATCAAGCTGCAGGTGGAAGAGGGAAAAGGCCGGATAAAGCCCGGGATGACCATGGAGGCGGTCGTGGCCGACATGTTCCAAAACCAGGACCGCAACAAAGATGGAGTGATAACGGCCAACGAGCTCAAACTAAAGGTGGACGAAGACATAGAGCGTGAGCAGGCGAGGCACGAGGAGTTGTGAGAAGAAGTGGATGTTTTGGTTTTCTCTCAGGGATAAACCTTAAAAACACCTTTTCAAAAGAAAGAGCAATCAGTTTTTATCATGTGGCAAAGTTTATTATTTACAACACTCTGGACAATCTTTTTTGAAATAAGAAAACAAGAAAAGTCTATTTTTGTTGTACGTGGTTTAGAAAATACAGCTGAGGAACAAGCACCTTTTGTCCCTGAATGTCACATTAAAGTGTTTGTCAGAAAAGTGGTTTCAGATTTATTTATTTATTTATTTTACAGCAGCAGTACTCTGTTGGAAGCACCTCATATCTTTGAGTATTTCAGGACTAAAATGTCCCAACAGTGATTTTACTACTGTAGTCAGAATTTATTTCCAATAGGAAGAAGTGGATTAAAATACTTTACCAGCTCAGTACTATTTTGTTGACATGTCAGTTCAGGTCTGTATATTTTGGGTCAGTCTTTTACAAAGCCTCTCAGAAAATACACAACATAGCATTAATGAAATACTATCAATTTTATTTTTCATCATTCTGTATRCTGTACAAGTGCATTACAATTACAGCAGCTTTTAAAATTACAAAATCATTTGTCCACACTTCATAGTCAGATTGCTGAAGGTTTGGTGTGTTTGTAGTCTAGTTTTAACTTTAGAGAAAATAAAAGACCACTTCTGAGGTCTACTTTGAAACATGGGTTCATATTTCAATATCACCTGTCTCTGATGAGCTTATGTACCTGAAGATGGCATTTGGAGTGTCCATCGTCTCACACTCTGGTCAAAGTCCATGTAGTTGGCGATGACGTGGACGTTGGGATGGAAGACTTGGTTCTGTCGGATCACCTGCTCCAACACRTCCCCAACACCAGCGGAGAAGATCAGCAGAGGAACTTGGTGCTCCAGCAGACGTTCAAAGAACATTTTGTAGCTGTCCCTCAAAACACAAACAGCATTTATAAGTCTGTTGGTGGGACTTGGAAAATTTGGACACAAAAGGAAAACACAACCAGAAACTGACATCTGAGTCGAGTACCTGATTCATGACACAAGATTCCTTTACAGCATCAGTCAGCTGGTCCTTCCTGAAATTCTGCTGAATCAGCAGCTCATGGATTTTTGTCCACCTGTGGATTGAAATCAGACCTCATCTTGAGATCCTTTTTGTTTTAATTATTTAAATAAAATAAAAACTTATTTCTTACCATTCCACCATGTGAGGCATCTTTTCCCTCAGGCTTGTATTGATTTCTATGGGATAATACATGGTTGACAGTTCCTTTACCTGCAGCAGCTCAATAAAAAAAGCTAATGTTTCCTTCTTAACTATAATCTCAAACTTCGAGCATTAAATGTGACAAATCTGAAACGCAGCTTATGATCTTTTTAGTGCAGTCTTCATTAACTAACCACTTGTTTTCAAGGATATCTTAAAAAAATTCTTAAAATGCGAGGCAAATGAAATCATTGCAYACAAAAATACAAATAAGAAGTTATTACTTTTTTGTTTTTGATGTCTAATGTGCATATTTTTGTTACAAACACTTTCACGACTTTTTTTCAGAGATGCTCATCTTTGTCAAGTTTCAGAAAGGCAGAACAAGTGAACACAGTCGAAGCAAAAAAAAAAAAAAAGTCCTAACGATTATAAAATGAATATWTGAATATGATGTGATAATCTTTGAGCTTACTGTGGGCGATGGGCATTCTTGCCATTGTGAGCTAATCTGGTGAGAGTCGAGTCAAAGTCAGAGATAACCTGTGAACAGAGTAAAAGACTTGTACCAATCAGCAAACAACCAGTCACGATTAAGTCAAACATATTTATTTATTGCAAACAAGACAGGGTTTATGACTGCATTTTTATGTGTGTTTGTCAAAGGCTACTTTAGACCCAGTGAAAGTAGTTTTTCTGATGTTAAAACAAGGAAGTCRKATAAGGTTTTATGAGCTTAGGCACCAAAACAAAACTAGTAAACATGCAGCCTTACCTGCAGGCTGCCTGCACCTGCTCTCTGCATGGCATGAATGAGCTCTTTCACTCTGCATTATTACTGAGGACCTGCTCAGCTCTGGGATCTGAAGATGGACAGAGAGAAAAAAAAAAAAAAAAAAAAAAAACGCCCCTCAGTCTAACAGGTCATGTATTTAAGATAATCCTTTGGTAATCTCATGATGAGAAGGGTCAGAATTATAGCAGTTTTTGGCCAACCCTGCAAAAGACGTTCTGCACTTCTGCTGCAATATTGTGAGCTCTTGCAAGATGTGTTTGAACTCAAAATATGCKCCGAGGATGCCTCTCAGCTTCTACAACACCAAATTCTATTTTGTTTAATACTAATTAGCTGTGGCGGCCATGTTGATGTGGGCCAACATCCAAGAGTAAACCAGCTGTAGCCGTACATTTAATTATTGGGTTCTGAAGGTTGGATTAAAATCTGTACAGTGCTTCAAGAGATGCTTTGCTGACATGACAAGCAAAAGACGCATATAGGCAAAAACAAGGACAAACKAAATAAAATAAAACCTCTGTTTTAGTCACGTGTCCAGATTGACCGCAGTGGAGACATCCAGGAAATATGGTGATACATCAGAGTCAAGGAGGAAAGTTGAATAGGSACTGTCATGGACTAATTATTTATATCTGTTTCCMCTTTACTACAGGGACATTACGTGAAAGTTTTAGTTGAAATCAATCCCAAAAGTGTTTTTTGCTACTAGCTCAAACTGCGACATGTGCTAGCCACCATGAACAAGAATCAACAGCTTGCACTGAATTAAAATACTAATTTAAAAGACGACTTAAAAAATAAGAAAGGAAAACACTCCCAAACTGTGTCCCAGCTTTAATGYTCTAGTATGAGACTTACCATTTTCAAACGGGTGTTTAAACCAACATYAGCACAAGTTACTAAACAAAAATATTGAATAAAACCTCCGAGTAATCACTTTGTTTACACCTTGTGCAGCACCAGCAAACGTGCCCCTCCTCTGAAGCCCTGAACATGGTTCCGCAGCACATTTGTTCCCATCTCTTCGGTCAAAGCTGTACCAATCTGTCTTGTAAAAAATAATGTCAAATATTTCATGTGAGTTTGCTGCAAGTKAGCAGCTAAAAAAAAAAAACGAAAAAAAAAAACTAACAAATTAATAAATCTAAGCACATTTCAGTCTATTACATTTGTACTTTTTAAATGATTGCTAYAATAAAACAACAAAATGCAGATGAAATAATTTAACAAATAATAAAGACAAAAACATTAAAAAAATAAATACCTCATATGTAATGTCACACCACAATAAAGTTGTTAAAAAAATCATCTTAACCACTGCGTGGCTTCAACAAGAGGCATCTTCATGTAAAAACAGAAGCAAAGAGTTCGTTAAGACAAATAGATTAAAGTGCACAATTCTCCAGAAAAGAAAAAAATTCTAAGAAAATAAAAAATATCCCAAAATGTCACCAAATTTTCATCTAAAAGATAAATAAATTGCTTGGTGCCTTGTCTAATCACACAACATAGCTCATTAAAAACCAAAATTTGTGGTACTGCTGATTTATTAATTAATTTCGAAAACCAAAAAACAAAACTGGAAAAAAAAAAACTTAAAATGTGTGTTAAATGTGCAAAAACAAATCYCAAACCTACTAGATTTCTTAGACAATCTTAAGGCATCAAATCTGAATGTAGAACTTATTTTTAAATTATTATTCTTATACAGATCATGGAGATATTTGGCTTATTTTAAATCTTTACAACTAGGTAAACTACGAGTAAAAATGTAAAATGTCTGATACAGTCTGCAAAAATGAAACACTTAAAGCAGAGAATCCCAACAAAGACCTGACATCAACAAACAATATTCAGATATTCCAACAAAGTAAAAACAGAATTTCATTATGAATAAATTCTGAYCAACATTGAACAGTAATATCTTGTATTATTTTTCCACGACTTCAAATTTTCAAGGAAATTAGATTTTTCTTTTGTTTCAGAAATCAAAAGGTACATTTAGTGGTAGATTGAAAGTAAGGCAGAGRATAATGGTAAAACTCCAGAATAACTCTGGATCATTTAGTAGCCCCTAATGGCCAACTGTGTCTCCATTTTCTTCACCTGCTTTTCCACGCAGGGTCATGGGGAGCTGGTGCTCATCTCYTGGGGTTGTGCGAAATGCAGAGTACTCCCTRGACAGGTCTTCAGTCCATCACAGGGACACAGAAACAAATGAGACAAACAAMCATCCATGCGCTCACGCACACCTATTGACAATTTAGTTACAAATTACACGAAGTTTTTGGTCTGTGAGAGGAAACTGGAGTACCCAACAAACAAATAAGCCTGAGGAAACATACAATAACAAAAGACACAGAAAGGYTGCAGCYGAGTTTTGAACCTRCAACCTTCTAGCTGTAAGGTAGCACTTAAACCCCACTTCAGGTAAACTAATAAAAACACTTCAATGAAAACAAAAGTATTTTAGTCAGCAAGCCGTTAATTAGCAAAGTGCTTCTTGTGCACAGCAGAGTCTCTGGTCCTGACTTCAGCACTCGATCTGGGCTTGCAGCTGCCTCCTCACGGTGAGGGAAYGTCGGCGCAGTTGCTGCACGAGCTGCATCTGGCCCTGTTGGCGAGCCAGGTTCTGTGGGACGGGGTAGCGCTGGTAGCCATGGAGGTACCTGTACGGGATGCGGACGTGACAGGCCGCCGCTCGGCAGCGCGGCTCAGGCAGAGGGGGCAGCAGCGTCCAGCACTTCCTCTCGGCGCGGTAACGGTACGCCTCCTTGCGGTACTGCTTCTCCAAGTTGTTGCCGTTCCTCCATCCGCCAATGATGAAGATGTCGTCGCCGAGGTAGCAGATGGCGGTGCCTTCCATGCAGAGAACCTCTGACGGGAGACTGTTGAGGATGTCGTCTGAGACGTTGCTGCTTATCGTCTGCTGAGCGTCCTCGTGCGACACTTTGTAGCTCTTCGGACAACAGGTAGCCGTGTGGTAGAAAGTTGTGTTTGCGACAGCCATTTGGAAACTGCAATAATTGTCGATTAGAGGCAACGACTGCACTTCCTGCCACTTGYGACTCTCTGTGTCGTAGCACGCAGTCACAGTGTTCAGTCCATCACCCTGGTCTATGTCTACTGGCGTCCTAGCCATCGTGTACACATATCGATCCTCCACACTCACCGTTTTCACATCTCGTAAGATCATTGGCGCAGGCTCAAGATTGATCCACTGATCCAGCTCAGGTTTGTAGACCGTGACGTCCTTAAAGCCCGGACTGAAGTTTCCGTGACCGCCAATGCCATAGAGGACATCTCGGACACACGCGAGGCCGAAGGAGTGCTTGCGAATGGGCAGGCTGCTCACCTGCTCCCAACAGTTGAGGCTCGTGTCGTAGCGTTCGACCATCCTCGCAAAGCCAGGCTCCATGGAGCCCGCCACATAAACGTGGCCCTCAGCGACTGAGACGGCATGTCCGTCAAGGTAGTTGTGAATGTGGGGCAGGTTGAYCCAACGATCCTCGGCAACAAAGTAGCCCACACACTCACTGAGATACTCYCCACCTTCCGAAACGCCACCTATCACCATGATCACGTCCATGTTCTGGCCGAGGCGTGGCTGGACCTCTCCGGCGTAGGACGGRCAGAGCTCTGGAGTGGCTGACTTGAGGTTCTCAGAGCGAACGGCGTGGAACTCAAGAGCATCGAGCACCAGCTGCTGRCACGCCGCACTGTTCGCCACTAAGGGTTCCTTTTTCACCACGCGAGTCAGGTAGGACGGCGCGACCTGCGGCAGCCTTAAGAGCTTAAACAGCTCTTCAAAATACTTCTCCCGCTCCTCTGAGTTCTGGCGGACCCATTTCACCATAACCTCAAACAGCTCGTGTTCAGAGTCTACTGTGATCTCCGTGTCCGACAGCCAGTCTCGGATCAGATGGAACGGCAGCGTGTTGAACGCCTCGTTGCAGGCGCTTTTGTTGAAGTTCCTTCTGACTGTCTGGGCGGCTTGCAGGGCGAGCTGATCCAGAGAGTACATGTGTGCCAGGCTGTGCACGGCGACACAGTTGGAAAGACTCAAGTTCTTCAGCAGAAACTCACCACAGAAGATCTTCAGCTGCCCCAGCAAGAACCTGATGGAAGATTTAAAGAACTTTAAACCACTGCATTGATTATAGCGTTTCTCTAACTGTTTAGCTGGTTGTGTTATTGAGTTGTTTAATGGTCAGGTAACAGAATAACCATCAAAACTGCATGTTGTCACAAGCCCACCAAAAGAAACTATTTTTGACCAAGTCAGAACTATGTATGCAACGTCTGAAAGGATCAATTTAAYCAAAACAGGAAACTGAAGCTCAAGTTTAACAATAGATCCAAATCAATGCAAGTTTTATATATTTATTATTACTATTTGTTTTGTTGTGACTTTAGTTTGTCAGTGATTTTAGGCTAAAGCTTCAACTGAAAAAAAAAATACAATAAACTTAAACCGCTGTAGATATTTTAAGGATCACAGCACTAATTTCCTCTGTGCTCAAACAATTTTTAAAATGCTGTGTTCACAGTGAATGGGTTTTGAGCATCAGAGGTGTCAGGTTTACATGCAAAGTCTATATAACCTCATTTATAAGAGCTCAGTCTGGGACTGACATGTCCTCATCTGAGCATTCAGAAAAAAAAGGCGGCAGAAAGGCGAGTAAAATGAGCCCACCTCTGAGCCCACCTCTGACCCCCCAAGTGAGTTAGTATCAGTGCCAGGCCCGAGCCGAGCACACAGACCCACGGTTCCATGCTCAGAAAATTATAATGAGCTGATGACATCAGTGAGCAGGATTAATCAACATAATTATTACTGAGGGACTATTACAGACGACACAGAAAAGCAACTTTGTAGTTAGTTTAAAGAATAATGAACCACAGGATCGCTAAAGCAAGTGAATTCAGTTTGATACAAGGCAGACGTCGTCACACAATAAATACGTCGCGGTCCACTTCAGTCGAGCGGAGATCTGCTCCACGCCTCTTTTGGTTCCGTGCAGCTGGGTTCGTTTTGGGAACACGTACAGTACGTGTGAGCGAGACCTGGCCGGCTTCTCCTGTGCTTTTATGAATGACCCAAGGAAAGGTGTTCCGCATCGAGGGGCGCCGGGAAGTGCTGCAGCGCGTCTACGTGCATCCAAAGTCTCGGACGGTGGAGATTTGAACTTTTGCAGCTCAACGCAGAGCAGTGGTTTTAGTTATGTACTGTCGCGGTGCATTTTCCGACGGGAAAGTCTCCTGAATGATGTCCACTAACCTGAGACAGATGGACAGGAGCTCTTTAGTAGTCGGTGTCCTGGCAGGAGATGCGGGCAATGGTGCAGGTCAGCGCGGCGGCTCATCAAACTGGGATCGGGACAAAAGTAGTTCTGAAAGCGAGCCCGGAGTGGTGAAACTCACCAAACTCTGAACTCCTCTGAATTATCTGGTGAACTGATGAATAATTGAACACTACGTCCTTCTGCTGTCAGTAAATAAAGCAAAGCCACTTTTTTAAATTTCATCCGCTGAGACCAGCAGAAGAAAACAACCAAGAGTCTCTTCCTGATGCGTGTTTAGAGCGATTTATTTTTACAAGCGTCTGCCCTCAAAGTGCACGACCGTCCAGCTTGAAGCATTGGACGTGTTTTTGACGCTGAAAATGTATTCAGTGTGAACACAGATTTAGAAGCTGAGCCATTATTGCAGCACGACAAAAACAAACAAGGGGAGAAACTTGAAAGATGAATAAATTGTAAAATGACAAACACATAAAAAGTTGGGTAACTGATGAGCAACATTAAATCGTTTTTGAGGAAAAGATCAATTAAAAGTTAAAAAGGTGCAGAAATAACATTCTCTAAAACAGAAATAATAAAAACTGAATGAAAATATGATTGCAAATTAAAAGCTTAAAAAATTGATAGACACTTGTATATTACAACATGTGTCATAATGTAAAGGAAATTATGTGTACCATAATTCATAGAGTAAAACTTTTTAAAACTTTATTATTTATTTTATTTTTTGAGTTTGTTGGTACAATTTTTTTCCTGTAATTATGGCAGTTTCGGTCTTCCACACATGATTTAAATCTATGAGGACTTTAACACAGACACGCAGCTTTAGAGCTTATTTCGTGTCAAATTATCTGTTTATTTAGTATAAAGACAACTGTATCTGAAATAATAAGCTTTATTTGGTGAGTAACTTGTGACAAGTCACAGGTCTGCTTCATGTAAAAACTATAAATGTCCTCAAAATAAACACTTACCTGTCTGCAAGTTCCAGCACCTCGTTGACGTTAGCGGTGGATATCCGGACCTCCCCGGTGTACATGAACTGGATGACGGCCTCCACGCTCTCCGGGTCGGGCCCTGCCGCAGAGCTCCACTCCTTCAGCTCCACCCGCCCGGTCCGAGACTCCGAGAACTGTCCGCCCAGCAACAGCTCGAAATACTGCGAGGCCGCGGACAGAACCGAGCGATGGGCGGGCACGGTCTGGACCCGCTCCCCGGACTCCCCTCGGAAGCTGAAGAGCAGGGTCAGGTCGCAGAACAGCCCCGCCTTCCTTTGCTCGTTCTGCCGCCGGGACAGCTCCGGGCAGTGGGCCGGCCAGGTGAACACCTCGGGCTCCTCCGGCTCACCGTCACCTGCTTCCAGCGCTCCGCCGCCGCCGCTCTCGTCCTGCGCTTCTGCCGCCGCCATTCCGACGCAAAAAGAGAAACTCAAAGGTAAATGAAACCTCTTGGCTATCTTCGGGAGGAAATCATAAATGTGTATAAAACACGTCGACAAACTTCCAAACACTGTCATACGTTCAGAGGCTCCAACAACACCGACTTCCGTTTCCACAAAAACATTACTGTGGCGCATCAGCCTCAGGTCTGGTTTACCTTTGTGACGTGTTTCCGGTTGTCGATTGTGAAGGAAGCACGTGACCGTTTCATTATTTATCCTCAGATGAGGATATAAAAACACATTCTCATCATTGTGGTGGGAAAAAAAGATCCTCCACGATTATGAGATATCACAAAATAAACCTATCAACATGAGAAGCCATCTCATAATAAGTTTTAGAAGATCCTTTAGGAWCTTACAGTATATTTTTGATATTTCAAATTATTGACTTAGCATCTCAGATATGCGATCTTATAACTTCTCATGATCAGGATAGCAAATCTCATATTGACCTGATGCATCTCAGTAATCCAGGTAAAAAA